CAAATATGTATACTTCTGGATAACATTCATTTTCAATCTGACCAAGTAGCAGTCTCCATAAATTTTGGAGTTATGCATTTAGGATGTCCAATGTTCAAATGGAAAAAGCACCAAAAACATGTAAAACCACCAACTAAACAGACCAACAGCATTTGCTTATTGGCGGCTGCCCCAGGTCAAAAGCTCTTGCGAGGTCTAGAGTGAAATCCTCAAGCCAGCAACTCCCATATAGAGACACATGGGTTGGAACAGACTAAGCATACTTTTAGGTCAGAGCTTGTATTCTTAAAGACATAAAGACCAGCCAATAACTTGTGTAACACAACACAATTTGCAAATGAAAGTTTCATAAACAACCTTTGTGAACTACAAATGTTTCACTAGATCTAATAAAGTAGGAAAAACAGCATACAGTTTTACTGTAGAAGATATGACATGTCGGGTCTTTCTAATTTATTTACATAAGCTCATCAAAGGGTGGCAATGAGGTAACTCCTTATTATTTCCACCTGAGAATAAAAGATACACACACGTCTAACTGACAAGGTGAGCTTGTAGTCTTATAAATGTTAGTGAGCTGATGAATAGTTTTTGACATCACCAGTGCAAGTAATTACGTTAGAAATGATAAGTGCTTGCTATTAGTCTTAAAAAAGGACATCGTCCCACCTTAACCAAGGTCAATAGGAAATATCTGCAAGGAAAATTAGCTCATATTGGGTAAAACTATCTCTGAACCTAGAAAAAGCCGCAGCTTTCTTGGGATGGACGATTGATCATACTAAATAGTATGCAATAAATGTTTTCTTAAACAATTAGAATTATGTAATGCTTCCAGGCACCACTTCAAAGTGCAGAAGATAGAAGCCAACTGCTTGAATCATCACTTGGTAAGACACGATAAGGACAAGAAATAGAAATGCAGTAATTGAACATACCAAAAGGCAGAAACAGAATTATACAAAACAAGAAGGAAATGGGAATCAAGAGCATCACGAAGAACCTGCTTAAGAAACTCTTCATGCCAATTGTCAAGAGCATCAAATGACTTCATAACGTTGACATCATAAACTAGCACGCAGCAATCTGCACCTCTATAAAAGGCAACCCCAAGACTCTGAAATCTCTCTTGCCCAGCTGTGTCCCATATCTACAAAAACTATCATTTAGTACAACAAAACTCTACACAGATATCATGACAGTGAACTCTAATTAATAGGGAGACCAGTGAACTAGAGAACCCACTTGTAGAGTGACCAGCCTATCATCAATCTGCAGCTCCTTAGTGACAAAATCGGCACCGATTGTAGCTTTATATTGCTGAGTAAATTTCTTATGCACATATCTAAACAGCTTGTTAAAGACACTCTCCCAAGTTATGCATAATTACAACGTAGTCTAATTATTAGATTATGCCCCATAATCATGTAGTGCTGGGAAAAGTTGTCAAACATGCATATAAAGTGGAGCATGTACGGCATACTTGAGCAAACAGATTCACAAACAGAACAATAGGTAGTACAAATTGATTCGGTTACTATGTTAGACTCTAACCAAAACCATACGGTATTAGGATTGGGTGCCTGAGATGTGCATAAAGTACTATAAATACTCGCATTTGGCAGATGTGCATTACATTCCTTTAAAACTAATAATTCGCTGTATCTTGCATTTCATTAATTTGAGAAAATTGAAAACTAAAGCCTGTAAATTAGACGAACCAACCATTCTCATACTTGGCCAATATTCACCGGATAGATATCCCAAATTAGCAAAAGAAGATTACCTAAAAATAACAACGAGAAGACTACAGATTTGATAAACTGACTTCATCTTGCAACAATATCCCACCAAAACATTGAAACAACACGAAAACACAACGGTAAAACTTCATTCCAAAAGAGAAAGATCTCATATATTAATCGAAGAAACTGGTTCGAGGATACTGATTCATTAGGGAGGTCTTGCCAACTCTGACATCGAAACAACAAATTAAACGTAAATTAACAAACGTACACGTCGTATACGCGACTATAAACCAAAAAAAAAAATGTTGAAGTTGGAAGTAGAGCTAAAAAAGAATCTCACCCGCTATCCCCAAGAACGATGACCTTGAGCAAGGTACGCCTTCGCATTGACATGGCGCCTAACAGGCGAGTGAAACAGCGATGGATTCTTTCAAATCTTGATGATTATTATAGTAATTATTTACTGTCACTGTGTGTCTGCGTCTCTATATATTATATACATACCAGATATATATATATATATATATATATATATATATATATATATATGCATATATATAAAGTCCTTTTCTCCACCAAAGGAAATAGAATTTTCGAACAAAGAAAGAGAAAGGGAGCGCCAATTCGGATCTCTTCCCTTTTCGTTCCCCTCTCTTCAGTCTCTCTCCCTTTTTTCCCCCATTTTTAAGCAAGACTTAAAATAATATAATCTATATTTATACGATTTCAGATTATGCCATAAATCAATTTTAATTTCTCAAAATTTAATTACATCCGAAAATGGACACATAAATCTTTTTTAATTATTAAAGGTTAAAATAATAATTAATATTTAAAATAAAAAAATATATATTTATAATAATTCGAGTCATACTCAATTTAATATAAAAAGAGAAGTGGGTGAGGACGACTTAATAAATAATATTAATTAATAGATATAACAAAAAATATAATTATGTTTATATTAATAAATATAAATTTTTCTGACTGAATTTCTCTTTTTTTTTTCTATTAATTTTATTTGTTTAATTTAATATTGTTTTTGTAAAATAATAATAATAATAATCAAAAGTCAAAATCAAAGTCATCATAAGTAGAAAAAGTAGACACATAATTTTAACTACAATTATTAATGGGTCATTTGGTTCCCAAGCCATGATTAGGCTATAATATAACTAAGTAATAATTTTACTCACATGTGTTTTCTACAATAATTAATATTTAGAATAATAAAATTTATTCCAAATATAATTTTGTAAAATTGGAAATAGGGTTTTTTTTTTAAAAAAACCCTATTTCCTAAATTATAACTGTACTCAGGACGTAATTAATTGATTTTTAAGATTTAACATATAAAAGTACGATGTCGTTTTATCAAAAATAGAAAAACATTGTAAAAATACATACTTTGTAAAATTATCAAAAATTATGAAGACAAAATCAATATATATGTTACTCCACCATGATAGATAGATAATTGTTGCTGAGCCGAGCAGCTAAGCCTTCCAAATGGCAGCTTGCTTTTTAATGGAAACATCTTTTTATCAAATGCAAAATGTGGACTCGACAATAGTTGGATCGCAGAAGCTACAGGGAATGGCGAACTCATCACTCCTACACAACCCAAATATAAAAATGTCAAGTTTCACCACCCGCGCGCTTTAAAAAAGTCTCTAGTTCTCTTCCTCATGCGGGTAAATACGATGACCATGCATGCCAAGATCCAGGGCGGAAAGTCCCCACCAAGAATGTTTAATTTCTTCATCCATTCCGGAGTTTCCTTCATAACCAGGGCTATCAAAATGGTTATAACTGCTATGCCAAACAAGATTCTGGTAATGGGTTTGATCAAAGAATCCTACATGAAAAAGAAGTCAAAAGTTCACTTCAGCTGAAACTGCACCTAGAGTAAGAATCATGGGCTGATAATAAAAATTCCAGGCAATACAAGTATGAACATGTAGAATGAAGAGCTATGCCCCCTCCCAAACGAATAGCTTCACTTACATTGGGATCACAAGCACCTATGTCACACTAAGATATCTTGACATCCATGGGGCTTCACAAATGATATCTCAAGCATAAATATTTGAAAATTGTAACAAGGATAGCACAAGCTCATAAGTCATCATATAATAGATGGAAAAGAAAAATATTCATGAAGCTCTTGGTCAATTGAATATTTTAAACATAGTGTTTAAGGGAGATAAGGTAATTCCAATACCATAGAGAGAGAGAGAGGGGAAAAAGAACTTGCACCCAAAGTTGCAAAGTACCAATTTTCATCATCATGGAAACAAAAGCAAGCACCATGGCACCTCCTCAATAAATCAAGGAACCCTGCATGGAATGTGTGTATGTGTATCCTGAACAAGTTAAAGGACCATCAAGACCACAAGCATGATTGAACTTGCTTACTTTCTGCCATCACAAAATCAGGCACTAACAACCAGAGAGCCTCATTCCAAACTTGTTTTCACACAGATAAACAACCTTCACATGTAGATAGGAATAAAAACTCTGCAACAACAATATAGCTATTCCAAAACTCTGAAAGTTTAGATAGCTCAGTATTAATGTACCCTCAAGGTAACCCCTATTCATAATGGTAGATTTTTACTGGCCAATACCCATGATTTCCATAAACTAGCCAACCTCATGGTTTTTAAGAAGTTCCTGTATATCATAGGTCCAACATCTGTTCCATGGTATAAATTGTTATGACATTAGCTCACATCATTTGGTCTTGTCCATTACACTCATGATCAACAATCTAGCCAACAGCTTGCACAGAAGGTATGACAACAAGTATTCTGTACTCAAAAGAACTTCTAGAAATAGAAGTTCAATCCAATAACATCAAATGAAGCGGGCAAAAGGTCTATGAAATCTTAGGTGCACTCTTAGTACTGGGTGAATCCTTCAAAGCTATCAAAAACCAAACTGAGGCAACATGCTGCATCAAGCAGTTTCTAATGGACAACTCACTAACTGAGGCAACACACTAGAGGTGTAAGTTTCAATTTGGTTAATAGAAAATGAAATCAGACCAAACAAAACATAATTCCGCCAATTCAAGTTCAGTTTTCAGTTTTGTTTTTGGTTTTAAGAAATAAGAAAAGTTGTTTAATAAAGTTTGGTTTCTGTTTGGTTTTTGGTTTTCAATTAAACAGCTTAACCTAAAAATTGAAAATATTAGGGTATTTTTGAAAACTCTTAAATATTAAGGGTTCTTTCACAATATCACATAGATTTATCATTTATATATGTTGTATCAATCTGATACAACTTGGATTCCATTTAATTAATTTTTACCTAGTTTAGTTGTTATATATTATTTCACAATATCATGTTTCCTTCTATAAAAAACAAACTAAGAATTTAGTAGAATATCATTTTTTGGGTTTTAACCAACAGGAACAAAAAAAATTGGTTCAGTTCGGTTTTTAAAAAATCGAACCAATTTTGGTTTAGGTATTCAACTTTGAACTTTGAGAACATTTAGTTCCAGTTTTGATTTCTTCAATTTGTTTTGTTTTGGACTAATTTATATCCTTACATATGCTGTATCAAGCATTTAGTACAAGAGTAGAGTTTTTTAACATAAAGCAGAAGAAGGCAGGGAAGAGTAGAGTAAGATGTGGTGTAAGGAAAACCAATTTAGCTGCAAAAGTAACACTGTAGAATATCTGGGTGGAGGAAATGATGGACGAATACTTGGTGGAAAAGATACCAGTTTTTCTTCCCCAAAATTCAGGCAAGAAAACTGATGAAGACATAATAAGTTTCTACAAAAGATTTGTCTATGGCCTAACAATTCTTTACCAGCAAAAACCAACAATAGTTCCATGGTATCCGATCATTTCCTCTATTCTATTTGAGCAAAAGGAGGTTCTAATAGATAATTCTGACAAATAAGCTATGCAGACTAACAAATTCTCATAGAAAAATTTCTGCAATTTCATCCAATGCGAGGCTGATTTTGGATTCAGTAAAAAGATAGATTATGGAAACAAAACCGAAAAGCAGGCATCCCCCATGTACTTGCACAAGAATTCCACTCGTTTCGCTTGGAATTGAAAATAAAAAATCAACCAACATCAAAAAATAATCCATGAATTTAAAACCCTAAATTTAACAGGCAAACAAATTACCTTCGGTTCTCCGTCGATATAAGCAACCGATCCATCTTTATAACCAAGAACTGACCTCCCATTCCTTGGGTTAAACCGAATCGGCGCCCCACGACCCGACTGGGGATTGAAAGCGTGGATTGACTTGAAACCATATTTGTCGAGTATGTCCCGGACCTCGAGCTGGTCCTGGTCCCAACCTCCTAAACTCGACTTGAACACGTCAATTGGACCCTTGCCCCGTCTGTAGAGATGAATCTCCACTTCCGGTACCTTCGTCCTTACAGTTTTCTGGGTCGGATTCGGGCCAGACGGAGACGCTTTGGCTTCGTTGTGTTTTTCTTCGATTTCTCCGGTCTCTGTTTCCATTTCTGTCAATGACCGGCTTAATCAGTCTGCCCTTCCCACTTTTGGGGCACCTGTAATTTATAATAAACACAATTTTCCAATTTGGGTCTTTTATTTTTCAATTACTGTAATCAAATTTTTAATCTTTTTTTTTCTTACTTAATTTTATATATTTAATAAAATAAATAAACTTTTGTAAATCATTAATAACATGACCTTCACGTCTTATTATTAAGAAAACATGATTTTCAGGTTGTTAAATTACGTACAACTAAAGTTATTTTTTAAAAAATAAAAATAAAATTTGAGTTAAAACTAAATAAAATGTATTTATAATATTTGAGTTGAGAGATATTAAATAAATTTCAGAAAAAAATGTCTTCCATAATTAATATTTTATAAATAAAATATATTAATCAATATTAAAAACATGTTATTAAATTTTTGTGACACCGTGTGATAATATATTGAAATTTATTTATTTTAATAAACAAATTAACTAAAAATATTAATGTCTTAATTTAACAATGACAAAATTGTAACACTCATATTTTGTAAATAAAATTTATTAACATGTACCTGCATATTATATACAATTGAAGAAATTAAAAAAATATTTATTAAAAAATTAATTGAATATTGTAGACGACTGAAAATAGTTGATGATATTGGAATTTGAAGGAGAAATCAAATGGGGGTTTGTTAAGCTTATAAACAAGGACAGACAAAATAAAGTATAAAAAAAACTAGAAACAAAAAACACCACTATGGTAATATAATCATGTGGTATAATAAAATTTTTATTCTCGATGATACTACAAGAATTTTTATAAAAATTTTTTATTTGCCTTTTCTCTATGAAAATTTTATTTTCTAAGAATGTATTTTAATTTTTTGTTTAATTCTTTTTTTCATGATTGATTTAATTTTTTATGAAAAAAATATATCTTATTTGTATTTCATCTCTTCAACAAGTTTAGTAATAAACATATTGGACCTATTATTTCGATAGAAATAAAAATCTATTATTAGTTTTTTTAAAAATTTCCAAACGAATAATTTCAACATAAAATCTTGCATTAATATTGAAAATTTAAGCATAGAAAAATGTATGTGTAAGAATAAAACTATAACTTTCTCTGCAATTTTAATTGTATCTGTTCAAACAAATCAATATAAATCCGCCATTAAATATATGAAAAAAAAAAAAAAATTCTACATTAAAGATCTAATAAATCGAAATACTGAAGTTGTTAGTGCTGCAAAGTGCAAACCAAGATCCAAATGCTTTCCTGTTTTGACACATGCGACTGCAGATCGGCTTTAAAGAGAAAACGAATTTCTATCACATAATGATATTCCGTACTTCAATAAACATGACAAGAAAAATTAATGTAAGAACCAACCCATCTAAAAATATATGGTTACAACACCAAATAAATAAAAATTTGGTGATGATTAGACTCGTCCATAAATCTGGTGATAGACTAAAAGCCTACGGGTCAAACCAGTCCATTTTGATGGAATGGTTGAACATTACCATCCAGATTCGAAACAAGTCTAGTGTTTAGGACCACGAAGGGAGAACATGCTACTAATTTTTATAAATCATGCACAGATAATGTGTACCTTCCAGTGACGGGTCATTTCTCCAAAACATACTCTATGCGCATTCTTTTATCATCTGAGTCCTATAGCCTCTGCAAGAGAGTTAAAAAAAAGAAACCAATTTCAATAAACAAATCAGGAATACTAACAAACCTTTCAAGGCCATCAAAAAGCTTACCTGTTAAGTATCATACACAGTTACCGTTCTCTTTTGCATGTTCTGCTTTGCTGAAACTGGAGGAGGAATCCAACCACCCCGATATCCTGGCTCTTTCAACATAACTTGTGAATTGTTTCTCAGCATCAGGCACATCCAGGGCTAAGTCCTCTAGAGATTCTGCTACCCTACCGAAACCCTTCGTCATTTGATACATAGTTATGAGTCCTGATTCAAAACACTCTTCAAGCAAACCCCAGAGCCTCTTATTCTTTTTCTCGATGACTGTTATCAATGCTTTCTTGACCACCTCATGATGAAAGAATGGCATCCCTAGCTCTTTTATGCAATGACAAGCTTCTCTAACGTCCCCACCAGACTCATACTCCTCCAACAGCTTTCCTATTTTTTCTTTGATATCCTCAACCGCCCATCCATGCCTGCTGCTTCCTCCTCCACCCCAACACCTTAAGATCCTTTCACCGGAGAGTCGAGCTTTTAGCAATGACTTTGCCATTTGCAGCACTTTGCTACCAATTGATTCTTGCCCCCAAAACTGGGATTCAATTTCCTCTAAATGTTGTGGAGCCAATACCTCATCCACCACCGCTCTAGCCAGAAACATTGCAAGATCCTCAGCAACAACAGGGTTGTCGAGAGCAGTGTCATCTGCAGACTCTATCAACATTACAAAACCGTTTACAGAATCATCAGGTGGAAAAGACAGTGATGACAACAAAGTTGAAGCCCTTTCTTTCTCTCTATTTTTTCGATCCATTGCTAACGTTATCAATCTCTTAATGAAGATGGCATTTAGTTCTCCTGAACAACTGCTGTTCTCTGACTCTAGACAACTGATTACCTCTAAGATGTCACCAGACAAGAAATACTCTTGGATAATTGACTGAGCCTTCATCTTGAAAATTTTGGCGGCATCATCTCCTAATGATCTCTTCTCCGGCTCCAATGAGAATGATTTTAAAGATGAAGCACACAACCAGCCCTCAGATGCCGCCTTAGAAATCAAAGACCGCAATATACGTCTTGCATTTGGGATGTCAAGTGATAAATCATCAACAATGTCAATCAACCTGCCATAACCCTTTGTTATTTGGCTTGAATTAATCAAACCTTCTTCTGCTGCTGCTTTTAACAAATCAAGAATTCGTCCTTCAGCTTGACGCCTCTCCATTGCCATTATAAGTGCTCGTTTGACAATTTCATGGTAAAAGAAACACACTTTCAAATCTTTGATGCATCTGCAAGCTTCTTTTTTGTCACCACTCACTACATACTCATTCAGCAAATTGTCTATTTTAGCTTTGACCCCGTCAACTGTTTTGTTCCTGTTGCCTCCCCATCGTCGCTCAACTATTTCAGCATGAAGTGGAGCTGCTAGATAACTTTTCTCAGCTCTCTGTAGTACTGCAACTCCCTTTGAATCGGGAGGCAAGGAATCCATTTGTCTCTTTAAGAATGCTGGAGGGAGTATGTCATCAACCACAGCTCGAGCTACGAACAGTGCTAAAACATCAACTGTGTCAGGTATATCAACAATCAAGTCATCTGCAGCCTCAACCAATAGATTGAAGCCTTTGTAAACCTGCGAGGGATCAATGACGTCTGCATAAAGCGTGGATAACAGAACAGCAGCCATTTCTTTCTCCTTATCATGCCTATCCATAGCAATAGAGACCAGCTTCTTCACAAAATAGTAGTTATAGCTTGGTATCCCAAGTTCTTTTAATTCATTAGCAGTGGAGACAACATCATCAGTGGCAAAATACTCCTCTACTATTACTGTAGCTTTCTTTTTGTACTCATCAAAATCTTTAGGCAGATTTATTGCATTTAGATATCCATAATCCTGGATTCAAAGGGAAATTTCATTAGCCCATTACAACTGTTAACAAAGAAATAGAAACTCAAGGAAATACCAATCGATATTACAAGCATAATTGAAAAGCAAAAACGGTTGTGACTAACTACCTCACTACTGTCGTAGTTTGGGTCTTTGGGGTTAAGAAGATAATTTTCTTCGGTATCAACTGACCCTTCCCACGTATCTTTAACCCCAGCGCTACCTGCGTACGGAATTGTTATCAATTAATGATCTCAATACAATTCTTTCGAAACAATATATATCAGAAACTTGAATAACCTATAAAAACTGAAAAATCTTGATCACAAATTAAACTATAAAGAATTCTTTATTCCGTCTGCAGTTCTGCATTGCTTATCAGAGAAGTAAGGTCTTACCTTTCTTGGGTTGCCCATTTTTGGGAGAAAGTGAATGTCTCTCATACTTGCCTGGACTTCTCTTGCCTGGACTTCTCTTGCTTGGACTCCCTTCTGTAGGACTCGTAATACTTACGGTACATGATCTTGGTGACATTGGTGACATGGTTGGTCTTGGGGACTTGTAATTACTAGAAGGGATAGAAATGTGTAGGGCATTTGTCGGTAAGGTATCTGCATTCTCCGAAATAGATCGTGCATGCTCATGCTGGTCATTTGATACAAAACCATCACTGAACTCCATCATGTTTCGATTCTCAACTCCCCAATTTGCTCAGTGCAGCCAACGAACAAGCATCTACTCTGCTGGACAAACAAAACTGATGGCCAGAACTTGTGATTGAGGGATTACTTAACATTCAGAAACACTATGATTTTGACCATTCAAACTTAGGTACTAGTTTCTTAGCTTGCAGGTAATGCATTGAATTCAATCATATAAAGAATTATTCAATAAGATTCGCACAACAGGAACAGAGCAAGGGGATAGAAGAAATGGACAAATGAATAAGAACACTAACTAATTAAACTCAGATATATAAGCTTGCGTGTTAGCAAGTGCCAAGAAAGTAAAAAGAAGATACTGGAATTGACGTAGATAAATACACAGCTTATTGGACCAACAAAAAACTTTTGAAATTAACTACGGATTCATCAGAAAAATTAGGATGAATAACATCAGGATCTGTAGGATAAATTGCAAAAGTAAATTCCTGATCTGACATCAAATAAACAATTCAAGAACATGCAAGCTATAAACATAGACTGATCAACAGCAAACATAGAAAATACGAGTATAAAATTTCAATACTCAAATCAAGCTTAAATCGCTGTGTGACAAAAATTTTATGCATGATTCTGCACACTTATATTTCAATATAGAATTCCAATCCAATAGGAATAATAAATTATAGATTACCATAATACCACATACTATAAACATTATCTATGTGTGTTTGTTGCCGTTCTACTCCGTGAAAATTGGAATATTTTATCAAATTAAGACATAATCCAGCAATATAAATCGAGATAAATGAGATTGAATCTTATCAATAATGACGTTTAGAAGCTGTGCCAACATAGTCCCGCAAAGATCAAGAGTAACAGAGGACGAATTAATACGTTAACATTTCATGATGTATTCTACAACAACATAAAGAACTGAATACTAAAAAATTAGGAGAAACGGGAGACAAAAACTAAAAATAAAAAGATCTGAAAAGACTCTGACCTTAAGAACATGAGAGGCCGAACGATCGGCTTCGCCGGAGCGACTCTGCACACCGGCGACGAGGAAAAACTTTCTGCCTGAGACTTCTCTGAATTTGTCCGA